CTCTCTCTCTCTCTCTCTCTCTTCCTTCTCGAATTGGGGTCGATGATTGGTCGCTGCTGGTAAACACACGTGATAAACGGAAAGAAACGTTTGGAATGATGTAAAGAAAAAAAAAAAAAAGAAGTAATATCTATAAGCGAGCGTACACACGAGGTATGCAAATATATCCATGGCCCCGTTCCCGCCTCGAAACTTCTGCAACATTCGCGCCGCGTTGCGTGCTCACAACGAGATTTCTGATGCAACATTGGCGCTGTACGAGTTCATCGTTTTAGATCGTTGTCTTGATTTACGGGATTCTAGTCCCGACCACGCCCGCCTCGCGACACACAGCCAGACCATTGAAACGCGATTGACACACATTCGTGCACGGGGTTGAGCGTGACGTACACGAGTGAGACGTATACATATATAGATTGGAAAATAAGAGTATAAAAGACAAACTCGATACGTGGATTTTCATCAGTCGCTTGCGATTTCGACTTCTAAGAAGCTCAAGCAAATCAACACAAAATGAAATCCCTGGTAAGATCGAATATCCGCGAAACTTCTAATCGGGCAATTCGTAAAGGAAGATTATATACTGAGACTATTTTCAATTTTTTTCAAATGGAAACACAATTCGGCATTCTTCTTTTTATCTCTCTCAGATTCACGTTTTCTTCAATTATTAATTGGCAATCGCTTAGTAAATTTATCCTTGAGATTACTGTCGTTCCATAATTATTTCTCTATCAGTACTTTATCATAAACGTAACTCATAACTTGGATAAAAGTTTTTATTACGAACACCCTTGATTATTGATAATCCTTGATGGAGATTCGTTGCAACAACGAAGTTGTAAATGAGGATAAATAATCGAGTGTAATGTAACGTAGATTATGTTGCAAGATAATTCGTTCAATTTACAGTTAATCCTCTTCGCCATCGTTGCCGTTGTGGCAGCCTTCCCCGAACTAGAAAGGGAACGCCGAGGGGTCATCGCGGCCCCAGCCTTGGCAGCGGTACCTCTTGCACCCACTATTGCTCTCGCAGCCCCTAAAATCGCTCCTGCTATCGCTCTCGCACCCGCTCCTAAACTTCTCGCGGCGCGTAAGTATTTTAAGTATTTCTTCTGCATCGATCGTTGATAAAGTTTGATTTAACTTGCATTTAGTTTAATATCGAAATAAAATTTTTACAGTAGAATTCGATTTACAAGAACCGGATATTATTGGATAGAAATTTTTGAAAATTTTGGTCACTGATTAAAAGTTTAGTTGAATTTTTATCATTAATAATATCGTCGATATCGAGTATCATATGTTATTCGTTGTTTGTACGTGTGATATTATTAATCTTGCAATGAGTCTTGAGAGAAGTTAAAATATTACTGAAATCTTGATCATTAAATTTTGATTTAGATTGATTATTCTTCGAATATTTTTTGAACAGCATGAGAGATCTATTGTTGAAGATTTATTAAGAAAATTTGTTATTACCTATATTGCAGCAGCAGTTGTAGCCGCCCCAGGCCCGTGGAAAGCATGGTAAATCGTTATTTAGCATCTTGGCGTAACTGGACTTTAAGTATTATAACAAAACAACGATGATGGGAAGCTCTTCTCATTATGGAAAATTCGAATTCGGTTACATCCCCCTTTAGGCCGCAATCGATCATCCATAATCGGCTCTGCAGAAAAATTATACACTCCCTTCCCCTTATTGTAATTTAAATTTTATTATCAGATAATAAAACTTTATTTTAAAAAATAAATTCTCGCCGCATTCTCTTCGAAACCTTCGATTCCTGCAATGAAACAGAATAATTAGAGATACGTTATACAGAGATAATTTCTATTAAATTTAATTAATATTTAATCAACATATTTTATTTCTTGATATTTGATAAAATATAAAGATAACGGTATGTAGAACGGGATGGATCATAAAAATAAAATTAAAATAAAAATAATTTATGCATACGAACAATTTAATTACTTGTGATGAATTTCATTATTACTGATATTTAATCAATATTGTTGTTCAAAGAACATCCTTTAATTCGAAATATCAATCGTTTGATCTTTCAATTATCATCATAAATTATTTCGTGACGTACAACCCGAGTGTTAATAATATTATAAACGTTCAAATTGGATGACTAATTAGCTAATTATCCGTACACTCGTCGAAAGAATCGATTTGTTAATAACCTCCTGTCAAAAGTAATTGAAATGTGATAATTAAACACAATGTGTACCAACCATTACTCAACAATGTAGAAATCTCTAATATTTCGAGCTCGATAATCTGCATTTATTACATACAAGTACAAAATTGTTAAAAATAGAAAACAATAAATTGTGCACAATTACTAATCTGTACATCGTTGCTCTTTCAAATTAGATAATGTTTTGTAATTAGATCCGTTTTAATTAATTAAGTTGATTCGTCGATTCATCTTAAATATCCATCAATAAATAAATCCCTTTGTTGAAAGATAAATACGGCAAACTTCTTTATTCGTCGGCAAAACCTGAAACATTGTTGCCAATATTAATACGTGTAAAAGCATATCTTTCGCTTTTATTTTTTTCGTATACACAGTTTACACAAAGCCAAATTGCAACGAAAGAAATTACTCGCGCTTTAAAACCGCAGTTTCAAAGCACCAGCTTCAGACATCGTTTCAAAAGGCCGCTCGACGAATTCATCCTGGATTCATTATTTCTCGTGTCCTTTTATTGGCAGTGGATATAGGTGGAGGAATAACGGTAACGGCTTTCAACAAACTAATTAGAAACTGGGGCGACAGAAGTTCCAACAACTTTTACGGTTTCTCAAGTAAACCGTTAAACTTCGGTTAAACGAGATATCGACTTATCTCCGCGATTTCAAGGAATGGAAAATTATTCAGAGAGTACAGTGGAGCTTCATTTATTAAATATACAAAAGCGTGTAACGTGTATATGGATAATAATTACAAGGAGATACGCGAAAGAACCTCGGAGAAACTCGGATACGTTGTCCATCGTGAATCGAGCAGACCTTTTCTTTGTCTCGAGAACGAAATAGAGAGAAAGAGACAGAGAGAAAAAAAAGGAAAAGAAAGAATAATCGTCGTTATAATTCGTTCCATTTCGTTCAAATTACGGAGTCTTCGATTCGATGTGGAGCA